TGATGTGTGTATGGATTGGGATAACAGTTGTATGAGCCCCTAATAAAATGTTAAAAAAAAAAAAAAAAAAAAAAAGAAAATGCTCTAGAATGGGCTGTGGTGGTGGTGTACACTCTTCTAGGTATTACTGAACTGCTGAATTATATCATATGTGCATTATGTGTCAATAAGACTGTTTCAAAAATGAAAAAAAAAAGAGGTTGGGCCTTCATAGACCTATACCAATATAAATAAATTAATGAGTAAGCAAATGGGAAGAAAAGCTCTACAATAAGGAAAAATGCTAATACACTGAGAAAACAGGATGGAAATTTAGAAACCACCATTTGTTAACTATGATAATACTAATAGTTAATTCAAGCAAAAGTCATCCATGAATGACTAAGTGAATATTAAATGGGTTAAAGTTTAATTGAAATAGGATGTTTATACTATTATAATATCTGTAAAAGCTCCCAATAGTGACTTTTTTAAAAAAAAGGATATTTATATGGTATTGAAATATCTCCTCATAAAATACCTAATGCTCATTAGCTAATATTATTAATTAAGCGCATAGCAGAGAAACCTGGAAGATATTTCCAACTCAGTAATTAAAAAGCTACCATCACACTAGTAGGACAAATCAGTGTCATGTGTTTTCTGAGATGAAACACAGATAAAACCATAGAATCACTTCTGAAATATTCTTACCCAAAATGCAAAAATAACTATGTAAGGATAAAAAGAGGGCGATTTCTACAAAGTAGAGGAGAATGATACATGTACATCCTATCTGCAATTTATTCAGAAGTGGACCAGAAATGTAACAGTGAGGAAGTCTGGGTAAATCCCAAAAGAACCCTGCATACTATTCCTGCAGCTTTTATGTAAATTTAAGATATTTCAAAATGAAGTTTAAAAAGGTATATTTCTATGTATATTCCAGGAATATATACTATAAAATATTGGTGGGGGGGGGGTTGTAAGTTCATGGAACAATGGAATTAAAAGGTAATGGAATTTTTCCATGAACTTTTTGAAGCCCGTTGATGGTATTCAACATAAAATGGGCCCCATCTGAAATTTATTCCTGAGTTTAGACACTTAAATGTTAACTATTCCTATTTTCAACTGGTTCCTATTTTGCCATGTGCCTGAGAAGTTACGCCCCTTTTATGCACTCCCTTGGTGATTATCCCAATTTTCACATAAATTAAAGTGAATAGTAATTGCTTTACACAACAGATCTAAAGTGGTTTCACCCACAACAGCGTTCTTAAAAAAGGTTCTAACAGCCATGACAGCAAAGCACGTTTCCACTTTTAGGTAAGTATAAGCACTCAAACTTCTATTTTACACTGAAAACTCTGAGCTTTAGTGTGTTCAAAGCCTTTGAAAGCTATTAATAAACACTGAGGAGATCCTGAATGGAAATCAAAACTACAATTTGATTCTCTGTTACTCAAGTAGCTATTGACAGAAATTACACTAATTACTCATATCTGTTTTCTCATTGGCAAATTGTCTTGACATTCTACCTTTCTATACCACCTATAAAAAGCCAATAACTGAAATACTTCAAGCTTCTTACAAGGAAATGAAAAATACACGAAGGACCTCAGAGTACCCCTTTTTAGCAACCTTTGGGAAATAAAATAAACCACACATTATAGAGTTTGATCTGTTCCCAACTTCACTTTTGTGTGTGTGTGTGTGTGGGGGGGTCATTTGAAAATAACACAAGTAGAGACTCAAAAAGTTCATGGAGAAGTGCATTAAAATATAATGAAATGTTTTCACAAACATTTTGAAGCCCTCTTCTATTAGCTGCTTCTCTACTTTCTAGTAGATAAATTATTTCACTACTTTCTCATCAGCATCATTGGTATAAGTACCAATTATTGGATTATATGCATATAGGGATGCTGTAAGTGACTGAGGCCAAGGTACTTCAGAGCTGTTCCAGAGAATGAGAAATGTGGTAATATGGGAGATATGTAACTCATAGTTTTATGCAGCAACACCAGGGTCAATCATCTTAAATTCGCTCATTCATCCTAACATGTATTCAGCGCTTGCTGTGGGATCCTGTCCCACAAACCAAACGGGTCGTTAGGAGTGGCTTTGCGGTTAAGGAAAATAAGACAGAGTAGTGAGGCTCATCCCAATGTTGGGATCAAGAAAGTGAATATATTTTTCAATGAGTATATATAATCATGGGGCTTACAAATCTTTCAACAGGCATACATGTAATAGAGTGAACACTAATAGAGTGAATGGGTAATAAAATAAGCAGGTAATAGAATGAGTCAATGGCTTAATCTCTTATGTCCTTGAGCCCTCCCCAGGGGAACAATTTATGACTAGTATCAGAAGACATCAGAAGGGAGTTAGCTACTCGTTAGGGTGGGATAGGCAATAGAATCTGATTGCCCTAAACTACAGATAACCTCCGGGTGCATAGTGAACAGCCAGGTGCATCTTTTATGACAGCTCCTTTATGGAGAGCTATAGTAGGGACTATTTTCAGTCATGAGAATGTGCGTGAAGAGTCATTTTTATCTCAGAACCACGAGAGCCTTCCCCCACCAGAGTTGGCCTTCCAGACTCGGTGATTAGGAGCAGAGAATTTGGCCGCTTATATTCCCATCCAGCCCCTCAGTTTCCCACACTGCTATGTGCCGCACAACATGGTGGACCTTGAAGATAGGTGTACACTTAGGTCTAGCAAGGGCAGACATATAAGAAAGAGTATATCAGATGTTAGGATCACTGTACCATGTGACACAGGAAAAGGGGGTCCCTGGCCCCCTGATGGTGTAGTGGGTTATGTGCTGGGCCAGTAGCTACAAGGTCATCATTTGAATCCACCAGCCGTCCCCCAGGGGAAAGATACGGCTTCCACACAGGGGTTGTGCAACTGAGTCCTTTAGGGTCACTCTGAGTCAGAATCGACTCGATGGCAGTGAGCTTGGTGTTTTGTTTTTTTGGTGAGGCTTAAGGAGGATGGAGAACACTGAATGTGCTCCCAAATATCCCTGTCTCCTCACGTCCTCGTGGCAGCCATACTCCCAAAGCTTGAGGTAGCTCTCCTGGTTTACCCTTTATCAGACCAAACTCCAAGAAAGCCTGTGTAAATGAGGTTTGCAACTTTCCCAGAAACCAAACCAAACTAGTTCCCTAGAGGAGTCTAAGCTCTGGCATGGAATTTTTTCCTGACAGTAAGAGGCCTTGTAGAAGATGAATGTCCAAAACAACTCTGCATAAACAGATTGCTGATGGACAGTTGGAAGCCTGATATTCTAATTTTCCTTTCCGGTTTCCTTTTGTTTTTATTTCAAAAACTAATCTCTAGAGTAAATAGCCTCCAATTCAAATGTCTATGCATGGGCAATTAGTAAGAGAAACTATTTCTAAAAACAAACAAACATATTACATCTAGAGAGAATTGTAACAAACATGGAAAGGGCAATATTCTCTGATAACTTGGATTTTCTATAAAAAATTACTAACTTCGGGGAGGTGGGTGTGGGGGACCTGGTAGGGCAGGATCAAGGGGAACGTAACAAAGAGGAAGTGCTGAAATCCTGGTGGGGACTGAGCATGATAGTGGGACAGGAGGAG